TAACCTCGCTATCAGAAGTAACGTTGTAGAACCGGCGGGGTTTAGATCTTTTGTTTCTCCAACAAGGGGGTTTGTGTGCATCTCTAGGGGAAGAGTGTTGTTTTTATGCCGATCATATGGGAGTAGTTCGGGAATCTATGGCCAGGGTACGAGAAGGACTTGCCCTAAGGAAAAGGGAGCGTGAAACTCAGGAAGGATTGTTTGAATCTTGGTTTAATAACTCCCCGTGGTTGACTACTTTGATATCTACTCTCTTAGGACCCTTCATAATCCTTATAATTATATTAACTTTTGGCCCCTGCATTATAAATAAGCTTATATCATTTGTGAAAGATCGAGTTAATACTGTACAACTCATGGTCCTGAGACAACAATATCAGTCCCTATCTCCTGTAACACAGGATGAAGATTCCTCACATGAGTAACAAGAAAAAGGGGGGAATGTGAGGCCTGAGTCCTAACGCCCTCCAGGTAATTCTTTAACCAGGAGTCAATAGTGCCGGGGACTCCAGCACATCCCCCACACCTCAGGGCTTTACCTCAAACCCCCTCCCCTCCCTCCTTTTCTACCCCCTAGCAACAACTAATCATTTGTACCTCTTTGCTTTGGTGTTACTCCACCCTGTATTTTTCCTATAAAAATGTAATTGTAGGAGAGCACAGGGTCTTTTGCCCAAACCGCTGCGTCGGTGTAAGCGGAGACCCTAGCTCGAGCTAGCCAATAAACTTTCCTTTTGCTTTTGCATTATCATGTCAGTGGTAGCTTCCTCGCGCCAACACTCCTTTCAAGACCTGAGTCCAACAATACAAGGATGAACAAATTGGACATGGCAATTTAACTCAGAGTGTCTATAACAGGGCAGGAAAGGAACAAGTAACAGGTATTCTTAGAGCTTAAATTCTAAAGCATTTGCTTTGTGGAAGGCTGTGGTCTACAGTGGGAGCCCTAACTCCATTTTGAGTCTTGACATAAATTCAGAGGTCAATTAAATTCTTTCTGATCCTTAAACCAACACTGTGCCTATGCACAGAAAAGTTCCAGGACCAACCTGAGGGGCAGTTTGCCCTCAGGAAGAGCGTGACTGAAAGCAGATTATGCTTATTGAAAAACTAGGGAACTTGCCTGGGCACATCCTTATTAATTTAAATTAAGGTTGGGGTCCTGGTATTATCTTGTACCCACCTTGTGGCTATGACTCATAGTCATGAGTCATATCTGGACCACCACCTGGCTTAAGCCCCGGAATCAATCCTGTAACCCTTTTTAATCTTCAATCATGTAGTATCCCAACCATGATCCTTTCCCTGTTTCTGTAGTCCCACCTACGACAATGATGAATCGATCTGCCACCAATCATGATTTTGTGATGATTCCTTTTGTTTTTAATCATAGATAATTAGCTCCATGGCCATGACTCAGCAGACTCCATCCAGCTTTCTGTACTGTGTACATGCTGAGGGTCTCCCTCATCCTGGGTGATTGTCTTTGTCCTGTCTAAGGCTTAATAAAAGTGTCTCTAATGAGCCTATTTGAATCTGGGGTCTCTTTTCCCCTATCACACAGAACAAAAAAAATCAGAAAAGAAGCATTTGTAAAGGAAACAAATAAGAGACTGAGATAGACAATAATTGAGGAAAGAGAAACAACTTTAATTAAGGTTTCTTCAAACTGTTTCATTCTGGTTTAACCCCCAGCTGAAATGGTATTTCTATTCCAGGCACAAAGAATCAGAATCTACATTTAACAAGGTCCCTAGGGATACATAAGAATCATCTGGGGCTCTTGTGAAAATGTACATTATGATTCAGAATATCTGGGATAGAAATGCAAATTCTAAGCAGGGGGTTGAACGGATCGAACCAGTTCAAAGCCCTTGGTAGGTGACCTTCAATCTGAGACCAGAAGAATGAGAAAGAACTAGTTATATAAAAGAAAGAAGGGAAGGGCATTCCAAAGAGAGCTATTAACAAAGGTCATGAGAGGGCAATAAGATTGCCATGCTTAAGGGCCTGAAAAAAAAGATCAACAGTTGTAACTAGGCAGTTATAAGGGAAAGAGTAGCACAAGATGACTTTGGAGAGATGGGCAAGGACCAGATTTTAAAGAGTCTTACAGGCCATGAAGGAGCTCTGGAAGCATAGTGCCTAAGGCATTTCACTACTAACCAGAAGGCTGGTGGTTCAAATCCACCAGCCACTCCTTGGAAGGAAGATTGGGAAATCTATTTCCGTAGTGCTACCACCTCAGAAACCCAAGGAGGGGTCACTATGAGTTGGAACTGACTTGACAGCAGTGAGTTTGGTTTTGGTTTGGTTTTTATAGGCCATGATAGGAAGTTTGGAATGTAGTCTAAGTGCAATAAACCCACTGCCATCGAGTCGATTCCGACTCACAGCGACCCTCATTGGGTTTCTGCGGTAGTAAATCTTTACGGAAGTAGATTGCCCAGTCTTGCTTCCATGGACTGGCTGGTGGGTTTGAACCACCAACCTTCTGGTTAGTAGTCAGAGACCTTAGGTACTGTGCTACCAGAGCTCCCTAAGTGCAACGGAAGTTACTAAAGAGAAAAAAGGAGGAATTATGTACTAGAATATGTGTTTTTGAAAAGTCATTCTTACTGGTGAACAGTGTCTGGGGTCTTAAAAGCTTGTAAGATACAACTAAGATCTAAGATACAACTATCGGTCTCTACTCATCCAGAACAAAAGAGAAAGGAAGGAACCAAAGACTCAAAGAAACTAGTCCACAGGACTAACAGTCTAAACGAACCAAAGCATCATCTACTCTGAGACCAGAAGAACTAGATGGTACCCTGATACCATACTGATTGTTCTGATCAATGCCAAAATGGATGGATCCCAATAGAAGGGGAGAAAAATGTAGAAAAGAACCTCAAATTCTTAAAATACAGACTTACTAGAGCAGCTGAAATTGGAGGATTCCCCGAGACTATTTACACCTTGAACTAAAACTAACCCCTGAAGTCACCATTTAGTTAAATAACACATTAGCTCACAAAATAAAGAATATCCCATGAGTACAATTATCCCTCAGTGTCTGCAGGGGATTAGTTCCAGGATTCTCCCCAAATACCAAAAGCCATGGATGCTCAAGTCTCATATATAAAAAGTCATAGTATTTACATATAACCTATGCAATCCTCCTGTATACTTTAAATTATCTGTGTTATTTGTAATACCCAATACAATGTAAATGCTATATAAATAGCACTTTACACTCCCTCTTAACCTTTGAGAGACTGCTCTGACCACTTATTTTAGGAAGCTTTTTTTTCTCTGAATATTTTCAATTCAGGATTTGTTGAACCCACAGATGTGGAACCTGTGGATATGGAGGGCCAACTGTAGTGTGCTCCTTTAAAAAAATCATCTATATAAGACCAGTCAACAATTAATTTAAAACAAAGATGAGAAGGTAAGGGAGCAGGGAAACTAGATTAATGTAAACAGAACAATCAGAGCAGAAATAATGAGAATGTTCATGGATCGTGAAGACTGTAACCAATGTCACTGAACAATTTTGTAGAAATTGCTGAATGGGAACCTAACCTACTGTGCAAACCTTGAGTGAAAACACAGTAAAATATCATTTGGAAAAAAAAAAGATCATTCTTGCTCCTTTGTAGAGAAGGATTGTAGGGGAGCTTAAAAGCAAAACAGCGACACCAGTTAGGAGACTGACTCAGTGTTCAAGTAAGAGATGATGGTAGCCTAGACCAAAGTGATAGCAGGAGAGATGAAGAAAAGTAGGAAGATTCAAGATATATTTGAGAGGTAGAATCAACAGGACTTCCAATGGTTTGGAAGAGAAGGGAGGTGGTGACAAAGGAAAAAAAGAAATCATGGACTCTGAAATTTCTGGCTTAAGCAATTTAACTGTGTGGATGGCAGCACCATCTATTACCATGGGATAAACCTGGGAATTAAGCAACATCCAAATCACGCAGAGGACCTGTTAAACAGACTGTTGGGTTTTACCCCTCATTTCTAATTCAGTAGACTTGGCATGGGACCAAGAACCACTGCTCTAGAAATCCAAAGAGATGTCAAGTAGATAACTAGATATGCAACAATGTTTGACATTGCTTGTAGCAAAACATGCTTCTTAATACTCACATTATCTTCTTTCAAGTTTTGAAGAAATTCCTGCAGTTCTTCTGCTGTTTTATCTGCTGCTAGAGATAAAATTTTCTGATCCATCATTGCTCATTTCAGGGAACTGTAAGGGAAAAATGTCAGTGCTGGATGAAACTTCCTGAAGTCAACAAGTTTGTTTTTTTCCCCTCCCCTATCTGTTCACTGCATATTTATTTCACACCCACTATGTATAACGGCACTTAACAACAACAACAACATATATAGATGAGGTTGAGCTGTGGTGGTGCAGTGCTTTAACTGCTTGGCTGCTAAGTAAAAGGTCAGCAGTTTGAACCTACCAGTTGCTCCACTATGACCATCTGTTTCCATAAAGATTTACAGCCTTGGAAACCCTATGGGGCAGTTCTACTCAACAGAATGGACTCAAAAGCAACAGGTTATAGACAAGGTAACAGTAGATGCTCAACAGGTTAAGGACTACTAACTATGACTTTGTATCACTAACTCATACTTACTAAGTATGAGTAAGTGATTTTTATCCTAACCAAAACAATCTTAAGAATTCCCTGGTTGCTCACCTTACTATGAACCTGTATTCTAATCAAGTGATTTCCTAATTTTTGTCCACATTTTTATCATATTTGATTTATCATTTATCCAACACAACTCATTCAAATTCTAACAAATCTGTCCTGGAAGAAGTGCAGCTGGAATGCTCCTTAGAAGAGAGAATGGTCACACTTTGTCTCACTTACTTTGATCATGTTGTCAGAAGGGACTATTTCCGGGAGAAAGATATCATACTTGGTAAAGTAGAGGGTCAGTGAAAAAAGGGAAGACACTCAATAAGATGGATTGACACAGGGACTGCAATGATGGGGTTAGGTATAGCAAGGATTGTGAGGATGGCATATGACCAGGTAGTGTTTTGTTCTGTTGTACATAGGGTCGCTATGAATCAGGGCCAACTGGATGGCGCCTAACAACAACAAACCCAACACAATGACTAGAATAAGGCAGCCATGTAACAGCAGGTCAAATATATAAAGCAGTAATTATTATAAACATATATACAATATATCCTTTATCAGAATCATATAATAAAAGTAATATTTGATAAATAACAGCAAATGCCAAGTGCCAATTAAATGGGATAAAAACGGTGAGAAGTTCAAAATAGATGGATTATGAAGAAAAAAGTGTTGATATGGGTGAAGGGAAAAGCAATATAACAAAAGCATGTGACTTGCACAACATCACCAAAGATAAGGAAGACATGGAGAGGTACACAAGAGGTACAGACAGTAAAAGTAAATATTCTTGCATACACAACACTGTATTATCATTAACAGCAAACACTAATCTATGGGTGAATACATAGCTAGACAAGCAAGATCAAGTATGGACAGGAGAACGGGAATATACTCACAACCATCCATTAAGTTGGGCAGATGATATCCCTACATATGTATTTATATGTGATATAAAAATGTCCATGTTCAGTACAAAGCTAACAGGGGGCAAAGGTAGGATAACTTCTTAGCCACAACTAAGCACCTTGAGGGAGTAAGTCACTGGGCCTGAGGGCTGAGGATCATGGGTTTGGGAGATCAAGCTGAACTGACACAACACAGTACACAAAAATATTGTTCCACATCTTCCCTTGGTGAGTAGCGACTGGGGTCTTAAAAGCTTGTGAGTGGCCACCTAAGATGCAGTTATTGATTATTGATCTCTCCTCATCTGGAGCAAAGAAGAGTAAAGAAAATCAAAGATGCATGGAACAGTTAGTCCAAAGGACTAATGGACAATGAGAACCTCAGCCTATATGACTCTGAAACTAGAAGAACTAGATGGTGCCCGGCTACCAATGCCAACCACTCAGAAAAAGGATCAAAATAGGAGATCCTGCATAGAGTGGGAGAAAAAATGTGGAACAAAATTAAAAACACAAAAAAGACCAGGTTTATGGTCAGACAGACTCCCCAAGACTACGGCCCCAAATTAGCCTTAAGATCTGGAACTGATTTCACTTTCATGCCTAACTCCCAGCCAAACAACAGACAGGCCTACAAGCTGAACACCTATACCACAGAGATGCACTACATAGAACAATCAACCATGGGAGATAAGAAGGGCAGCATTTGTACAGGGAGAAAGCTAGAAATCTCATATCAAACAAGAAGGACAAAGGGTGAGGTAACTACAGGAAGAAGTGGGAAAAGAGCTGTTACACTGTGGGGAATTGCAGTCAATGTCATGAAACAAAATGTGCATGAACTGCTATATAGAAAATGAATTTGTTCAGAGAACTTTCACTCAGATCACAACAAACATTAAAAAGTAAAAAAAGAAAAAGGACACAGGGAAAGGGTAAATAAACAAGGGAACAAATGAGAGAAGAGCTATTACCCCACTGGGAATGTAATCAGTGTCACAAAACAAACAAAAATAAAATTGTATGAACTGTTGAACGCACAACAAATCTGCTTTGTAAAATTTTGCCCAAATCACAAAGTTAAAAAAAAAAAGTGAGAAGTCCTAAGACTAAAGAAATAATTATATGTTCAAATGTCAAGAAAGGCTTCTCAGTAGAGGAAAGCTTGAACTGAAACTTTAGATGTTAAATTTAGACAGTCAAGACAACCAGATAGTATATATATATTACTGTGAAATAATAAAGACAATCATAAGAGAATTTGAAAAATTTACTTTGGGAATAAACAAACTATGGTATATCCATATAGTGGAGTAAACTGTGGTATATCTATATAGTGGAATATTATTCATCAACAAAAAGAATTGAGTATTAAGCCATGAAAAGAAAGGGAGGAACCTTAAATGCATACTGCTAAGTGAAAGGAGTCCCTGAGTGGCACAAACAGTTAAGAGCTTGACTACCAGCTGAAAAGTTGGTGGTTCAAACCCACCCAGGCCTGGCTATTTGCTTCAGAAAGGTCATAGACTTGAAAACTCTATGGAGCAGTTCTACGCTACACACATGGGGTCACCACCACGACTCGCAATGACTGGACAGCAACTAACAACAAAGTAAAAGCCAGTGTAAAAAAGCTACATACTGTATGATTCCAATGATATGACATTCTGAAAAAGACAAAACCACAGAGAGTGAAAAGATTAGTGGTCAGGGGAACACCAGGGGAACAAGGAAGGATGAGTAGGTGGACAGAGCATTTTTTAGGGCAAACTATTCTGTATGATACACTAATGGTGAACATAAGATAGTAAGCAATTGTTAAAACCTACAGGACTGTACAGCACAAAGAAAGAACTCTAACATAAACTATGGAGGACTTTCGTCAATAATCTGCCAATGTTGACTTATTGGTTGTAACAAATACACCAATGTTAATAGGAGAAACAACATGCCGGGGAGGGAGACATGGGGAACTCTGTACTTTCTGCACAAGTTTTCTTTAAACCTCACGCAGCTCTAAAACATGGTTTATTTTAAAAGAAACTTAAAAATGAGTAGACTGGTTGAGGTAGGGAATTCAAGTAAGGGAGAAGCAAGCAGGAAAACTAGAAAGATGGGCTGGGGGTAAACTGTGAAGATCTTAAACACCATGCTAAGGAATTAAGATTTTGAGCAAAAGAGATACTGACAAGACTGAAACAGTGTTTGTGGAAAGTCAATCTGTCATCATTGTGCAGATTACAGCAGGAAGGGCTAAGGAGCAGAGGCTATAGACAAATCAGAGATCTATTTTAGAAGCAGTGAAAGGCCTGTGGTAGGGTGGTGCCTGGGGAACAAAATAGTGGAAGCATATTAGGCAGATAGGATTTAGACTACCCAACCTTCCTTCCGAGGAGTGGCAGGTGGGTTTGAACCACCAGCCTTCTGGTTAGCTAGCAGTCAAGTGCTTTAGGCACTACACCACCAGAGCTCCTATGGGAGTTGTGGGGGGGGAAATTGCAAACTGGTAGAAAGAAACCTGCTCCTGCTCCTCCACTTTCTCCTATGTTTCCCATCTTCATAACTGGTACCATCATCCACCCAGATGCTCAAGTCAAAAACCCAAGCAGCATTCTTAATTTAGTCTTCATCCTCCATATCCACTACTCCAAGGGACTGTCAATGCTACCCTCTAAAATACTTCTCAATCTGTATACTTCTTCACCATCATCTCTCACCTGAACTATTGCAAGAGCTTCCTAACTGGTCTCCCTCTAGACAGCAACTACAAATCTTTTTGAAACACAAACCAGATTGTGCGATTTGCCCTCCATCCGCTCCCATTTTCATCTTTAAACTCTTCAATGCCTTTCCATTGCTCTCCTACCAATTCAAAATCTTGAAGTAAGGGTAAGAAACATCCTGCACGGGCTGCCCCGTGCCATCTCTCCAGTTTCATCTTGCTCCTTGGAGAGCAAGAAGGCAACATAATTCAGAAATTATAAAACGAGGCAGCCTATGATATGGACTACCGCTGAGCTACAAAGGCAAAACGGGGTTCAGAGAAACTTTTCCGACTTAGGAACTGAACTTTAATGAAAGCGGGAAAGTGAATAGGACATGCTGAGTCTGCAGCACGCCACGGGAGGAGGGACCTGAAGGCCAAGACGCGCGCGGTCGCAGAAAGCGGGGAACATCTACCTTTCCAGCCTACAGAAAACACCAGGACGCCAGGTCCGAAGGGGAAGCCCTCTTGTTTTCACAGACCTGCTACTTCCCGGGGCCCAGTCCCCCGCCCGGACAACGCACCAATGCCCTCTGCACCGCCACTTCAACCTCACTACCGCCACAACTTCCAAACAGCCCGCTCAACAGAACTTCGCCGAACTTCCGTTACCCGGGACAACAAGTCCCACCCTGTTGTCTCGCTTCCGTGGTGTGTCCACACCCATCGCGCGGGATGTACCACTAAGATTATTGGGGCGAGGGGGGGCGTCGGGAGTTCGCGGACGTTCCCCCTCAGTCGGAGGGATGTGCGGCCTGGTGGGATTCCGGACCACAAAGTAAACATGCGCAGGGTGGACTGCACAAACACCGCCAGATGTCTTGCTAGAGTAAGCTCCTTTTCTACCTCCTGTTGCAGATAGAGTGCCACAGAGGCGAAATCAAGTGGTATCTCCGTAGG